TCCACAGGTGGAAATACAGAGCACCCAAACACGTGTACAGACGGGGCTGCAGCGTGTGCTCCCTCTTTGCCAGGATCGTCTCACAGCTCCTGGCTGTTTCAGCACGCACTTGGGTTTTGCAAGGAGTTCCCACAAGGAATACATCATTCCCTGACCATACTCCAGAGACCACCTCTGCTCGAGGGCTGGCTGAGGGATGTGCCAAGTGCTGAAATACGTGGTCACCTATTGTGGAAATGGTGAGAAGGTGATGGCAGTCCCCAGATGAATGCTTCCTCTCACTGCTCACTGCCAGGTCATCCAGCATTGCTTGCTAATGCCAGGTCCATACGGGATGTTGAATGAGGACACAGTGTCAGTGGCCTGAGCTGGCAGCACGGCTTTCTGCTGGAGGTGCAGCTCGGTACACAGTTGCTATCACAAAAAGTAGAATTCTGGGCTTTGGTTCAGTTTCTGGACTTGATGCAAATACACAATAACCATCAGCTTCTCTGCAGACTGCATGGATCAGCATGAAATAAAACAAAGCATGTCACAGATTTGAAAACCTGGAGCTGTTTTCTTCTGTACTATTGAACTCAAGGACTCTCTTTGCAAACAGACTCTTGCCAGCACATTACAGTATGAGATCTCCTTACACCATTTGATCAGGTTAAGCATAGGTACCAGCGTATAGTTGTGTCTGGCATTGATTCTCCCCAAAAAAACCCTGTAAGAACACTAAGAGCAGTTGTAAGATATTCCCTTGGGTTTGTTCCAGAGAGGTGGTACTGTCTATCTGTCCAGTCCAATAGACAACACTGGACTTGGCCTTCCAAGCTCAGCTAACCATGGCCATCTGCCAAGAAACCCTAATCTGAGGATCTCACTGGAGCATTACTGGGAAGCAGACAGCATTATCTGTGCAAGGGAACGACTGCTTCAAAGAAGAACAAAAGCAGAAAGCAGAAAATTAGAGCTTCAACCATAAAGTTCAAAGAACACGGGGAAAAAGCATGAAAAATAATTTTGACACTTTGAAGTAGAACTCAATTGTTCCATTAAACTGTATTTTTAATAAAAAATAACAATAACAGCATTCCAAATATCTATTTTATAAGCTTTACTAATGTATATTTTTTTTAATACATGTCAGAAATTCTTACTTGAGGCAAATGCAATATTTATAGAAAGCAAGAGACTTCAAAACAGCTCCAGAGACTTTAAGCTCTCGATTTATTCACAGATTTAGAATAACTCAGGAATACAAAATGACAAAATGTACATTTTTTATATTGTTTACTAATGTATTGTCTCTTGTCCCTGATCCGTCATTTTCCTGACTGGAGGAAACACATTCAGCTTCTTCATTGCCTTTAATGCTACACACTTCTGGAGGGAAATATTCCCATTTGGTGAAAATCTATCACAATTCTGTCTTGCAGAATATCACTCCCAGAGAATTATGTGAAGATCATTAATAAATACACTTTTGCAATGACAGTCATTTCTTCTTTGCTCATGATTTGTATCTATTATTTGCCTCAGCCTCTCCAGTTCCCAGAGAAGCTGCTGGTGAGAGTGAGGACCAGAAGAGGCAGTGCAGCTTCAGACCAAAGCCAGAATGAAGGCTGGCCAGTGGCTATAAAGGTTAACAAGATGTCAGAAGTCAGTTAACCCTAGTTACACACGTCACTGGTTGTGGAAAGAAGCTCTCCCTGTCTGTCAAAGGCCACTTCCACAATATGTTGGCTGTGTTTGGAAGCGAGGAACACGCTTTCTGGAGGATGGCTTTGGGAGCCAGCAGGTCCATGTCTCTCCTCCAAGCTCAAACACTGTCTGGCTGTGTGGCCTCATGCAGGCCACAGAACCACATCACTCCTGAGGCTGATCCTAGGTGGAAGAAAAGCCCATCCTGTGCAGAGCCCGCTCATAGCCCCTGCATCCAACCCAGTCAGACACCCCTGAGGGATGCCACAAGCTGCCAAGCAGCAAAAAATGGGTAAGAAGATGAGAAAGCAGTCAAAATATTCTTTCCGTTACCACTGCAAATCTTTAATTTTTCAAAAACAACAATTCTAGACCCACAAAAGCACATTGTTTAAAAAATACCAGATATTGGCTTGTTTTGTCTATTCACTCTGTGTGATGCTCTTCAGTCTGGAGGCATCACTGAAACTGCAGCATTTCCACTGTTCCTTCCTTCCTCTTCAATCAGCAGGTGAGCAGGTGAGTGTGTTTCCCTTTTCCTGTCAGTTTCACTTCCATTCTCATGTGGTTTTTCATTATATTACAGTGCAGCTGTATTTTTACAGCCATACCCAAACACTGCTATAACAGAACACCAAGAAGTTTCGGAGCAGCCAGTCTATGACACCCTACCTGTGGCACAGGCACAACATCACTCCAAGAAGGATGAAGGGGCAACAGTGAGAAGCCTAAGAGAGCCCTGCCGCATGACCTCAAGTCTGCTGTCCTGGGCTCTGGTGGAACAAAGGTGTGATATTCAGTTGCAAATATTTCAGCACAATAGTGGAATTTTCAAACCAATACATTTTGCAAAGGAACCATAAACACTTTTGAACTTCTCCTTTTTATTTCAGCACCATGTAAGTTTTAGCGTGAAAATTGTTTGATGTTCTTCTACAAAGTAATCTAGCCTCTGATTTTGGGGTGTGAATTTATTCCACATACTTCACTAAGTGCCTAGCAGAGGTCACTGGGAAGCAAAGGAATTTGTAACCCACATACACAAATAACTATATGCGCAGCATGATACAGATCTGGGCAGGCATGGGGTTATTTTTCTTTTCCAAGAAAATCCTGGATCAGAATTAGTCAAAAAGACAAGTTACCCTGGCAAAAGATAAGTCCAGAGCTCTCCCAAGTGTACTGCTGCTGAATCAACAGCTAGAGCTCTCAGCCAGCTCAGAGCTGCGCTAGACAGACAGCAATAAAGGATGTATTTTAGCTCCCCAAATTGCAGCAGCAAAAATAAGCCGTGAAATGAGTAACTGTTGAAAGATGATTAGCACACCAGTTCAGTGCACTGCTACAGGGTGTTTCTTTTCTCCTTAGACTTCCCCTGATGTTTTGAACTTCTGCCCAAGTCCTGCTCAACCAAAAGATTTTAGGACCTGATGAAAGACCACGAATTTTGCCTACTCCATAACCTAACAACTTTAAGGTTACACTTCCAGTTGGACCCACATGGGCTCTGCAAAGGCACAGTGTCTGCCCAGGATTGCCCGGGAACTACAGACCTCAACTGTAGTACATTGAACCACAGGTGTCATCAGGGCTGCATTTCCTGTAGGAAAAACCTGCTCCCCCAGTGATGGCTACTGATGTTCAGAGAAACAGTTACAGTGTTCTGGCAAAAATCATTTTGCAAACTACAGTAAATGAACATTGCTGGGCTCAGCTGGAATCCACAGGAGTGGATGCGTTCACAGTCATTTCAGTCAGTACCATCCAAAAGTGTAACTCAGGGACTAAACACCAACAATTTAAAAGTGAGAGTAAGTGCTAGGATCTTTATTTTCCTGGTGTCTCAAGTTCAGACTCTGACTCCTCACACAGGGCCTTGACTCCAGCAGCTGGGCTTTAAGAAAAAACAGAGACTGTTCAAAGGCATGTGACAAAATCATGCAAGTTGGTAAAAGCAGAGCCGGAGGGGTGGAAGAAACTGGTGAGTCAGCTTGTCACAGAAACGCATTTAGAATTTAACTGGCTGTAAATCTCAATAGGGACTATGTGTTCTGGGGCACTAGGCCAAAATATGCCCAAGAGCCTCCAGCTCCATATGACAGAAGTAGCTCTATCACGCAAACAAACACTTTTCTGAGCGAAGGATTTTAGTTGAGAGAGCAAACAGGCCTTTGTGAGCCTTTCACCACAAATGGCTGATGTCCAGTTTGGGATATTTTCTTAAATGTAAATAAGGAAATATATGCCATTAAGAATTCTGGTTAAACTGCACAATAAAAATAATGGGCATTTGTTCGTATGGAAACCATCTGGGGTCATAATGTCTAGGGCAAAATGACAACTGCCTCCGTATCTAGAAAAGTGGTTACCAGTGTTCCCCATGCCCACCTGCTGCCTGGGTAAGACAGAAGTGATGCCACTCTACCAGACCCTGCAGAATCCCAGAGAGCTACTTCCCAAAGCGTTTGAGCCGGTGCTTTTCACCAGAGCCAAACTCCTTCAGCTCCCGTGCAAGGGATGACAGGATGTGGGCTTTGGATCCTGGGGAAAGCTGTGCAAAACCCTATCCATTCCCCTCCCGTCTGTGACCTGGCCTGGCTGCTGCTGCTGCTAAGGTCTGTGCCTTGAAGTACTGCAGGGCCTTGGATTAACTCAGTTCCATCAGTTCCTGACATTTCCATGTTCACAGCTGCTGAAGGAGCAAGGCTGTCATCAGGGCCCAGCGCAGCAACCGCGTCAGGGACACAAGGGAAGGCTGCTCATGCTTTGGACATGCTGGATGAGCAGGACCCACAAGCTCCTGTGCCAAGGGAGCTCCTTTTCTCTCTGATACTTTGTCTTAGCAGGACCTCACATATTCGCATCTTGCTCCAGTGCTCATTCACAAGGCTGACACGTATGGCTGTACCCTGTGTGGCCCCTGCTAATTCATGACAACACTAGTGACTGACAAGAGCTGGCACCTTCCCCATCAACACACACTGTGGGCCAGCATGAGCAGCAAATCTACAGTCGAGGAATCTCTTAAAGTAAACACTGAAGTGAGTGCCTGTGGCTGTATCTTGCAAGCACTGCTCAACAGACTTGGCTCCTGGGGTTGGAGTATATCATCTCCAGTGTGAGCCTCGCTGAAGTTAATATTAATGCTACAGCTAACCCAGCCAGCTGCTGCACAAGGCAAAGAGCAGTTTATAGCAGAAAAGTCCCTGCAGCCTATTAGTTCTCTGCAAGACAGCAGTCTCATCCTTCCAGATGTGTGCTCTGGCACTGAGCTCCAGAGCATCTGAGCACTGCAGAGCTGGCAAGCTCTACACATGCCAAACATGTGTCAGAAACACTTCAGAGGAGCTTTGCTCTTGCTACTCATCCCGCGCAGCCTCGTGCTGTTCCTGACATGACCGCAAACAGCACTGTGGCACACCAGGGTTCTCGCTGTCAGGAGTGACAGTTTGAAGCCACCCTGACAGGGCTCAGTGCTGGCCCTGCTGAGCCCTGCACAAGCTCAGGATGACGGTTCTGGCTGTGCTGAGGCTGAGCAGGGGGTGCTGGCTGCAGCATGCTCCACATCCCATCACCCAGGCAGGGATATGGTGCAGGGGGACCTGGCTCCCTTCCATGCTGCTTTCCCTCCCCACAAGCGAGGGCTGAAGTATGCTGCTGTGCACTGGGGTTTTGTGGAGTTGTGCAGCCCAGGTACAGCCCCAGACTGGGAGCCTGCTTTCCTGGGCTGGGCTTACAGATTCTGTCATCTCCTTGGTTCACAGGTATGTATCAGCCTATGCGCACTCCACTAACCATGGGTGTTATAACCATGGGTGTTATCCCCACCACCACTTGGTGGGTTATGTATTAGTCTGGTGTCACTGTCTGCCTCTAAAAGACCAGTATTTCCCACTCTTCCTCTCTTTCCACAGAAAGTTTTATGTGAAATCTACATAGATGGAGAACAAGTTTTGTTCCACCAAGTTCTGGCACATTAAACCTAACAAACATACAAGAGATGCAAGAGCAGCTAATGCTGTGTGCTCATTGCCTTTGTGATACATCACTACTAAGGAGAGTGTAGAGCGGGCCAGCCCAGAGCAAAACTATTGTTTGCAATTGCCTTTTCCTTTTGACATTTTCATTGTATCTTCTTTTAGGATTGTAAATCTCCCATGATGTCTTTACAACACAGCTGCGAAGAGGCAATATCTAAAAGGCTGAGGAAGAAAATGTCCTGCCACCTGGGAGCAGCACTCTTTATCTCCCCAGTAACGTGCAGGTGTCTTGGGCTGGTCTGGCTCTCTTCTCTTCCACTGTGATATTTTTCAGTCAATGCATGCCTGATTCTTTTTTTGTTCTTTCCTGAATTGCAGGTAGCTTTGAAAAAACACGCATGAACCAGCCCTGCCAGGTGAAAAATAAAGGCTCCTGATTGCTATCATTATTATTATACCACTAGACATTTTATTAACACTAAAGTGTGACATTTCCCTCCAAAGAAAGGCCTTCTTCTGCCCTTCTGCATGGCTACTTTATTGAATCCAAACTCCGTTTCCGAGGATCTTCACCTGTTTAAACGCTGCTGTGTTTCTAAAAGCAATTTAACCTTTCATCTTTTATGGATGGATCCTTTTTTAACAAAAATCCTATAGGGCCATTTTTCTCCTCATCTCCTTGTGATCTCAGTGATATTACGTGATGTAGCTTTTGAAGAAGAAATGCCGAAACAGCAGCTTCACCACCTGCAGTTAATGCAGCAGGAAGACGGAAAAGGCAACCTGGAAAATTCCCTTTTCAACATTTCTCTCACAAGCTCCTGGTAAGAATCCCCCAAACCGACAATGTCTCTTGCATAGAAATGAAGGGCAAGTGCTGAGGAAGGAGAGAATGACCTGGAGATTTTGCCCATGTAAAAGCCATCAGCTTGTTTTCCAGCCTCACAGCCGCTCATTGCATCAATGACTCAAGCACCACCCAGCTTTAAGTATTTATTTTTGGCAGTGGCTCTGTGCTGTCCAAGGTAACTCAGTCTCCTGGGATGAAGAAAGCCGTTCTGAACACAGCCAGTGCCCGAGAGATGCAGTGTTTAGAGACAGAACTGTTTTCAAGGCATTGTTGGATAATTTTACTGCTTACTTACCTCATGGCTCACAGGGGATTCTTGGTTCAATAAAAACCAGACAACTACAGACACTAGTATGTATTTTCCTTCACTAAATCCTCTAATCCCAGTTCAGTCCAGACTACTCGGAGAAATTCAGCCTCTCTCCATGACAATACACGTTTCTCCTTCTCCTTCCTCAGCCCAGGCATCACTCTGGGGAAGGCAGATCTGTTTGCACAGCAAGTCTAGAGCATCCTGACCCTTGCACGTCACCCAGGCAGGGAGTTACCACCAGGGACAGTGGAGCCAACAAGGCTGCACTGGTACGGGCCACAGCAGGTCCCTTTCTCCTTCTCCCATCTGCCTTTGCCACCAAAGCTGAATGATGGCTGGAGCCCACAGGGTCTTTGGAAAGACCTACTGCAAATCCTGCCCAGTTGTGATTACCCAGTACCACCAGGCAGGGGGAGCACAGGGAGGATGGGGGCTGTGGGAAATGTGTGGGGAAGGATGGGTGTCCACAGAGGACCCCAATGACCTTTACCCTCTACTGACCCTACTTTTGCACAGCAGCAGTTGATGTCTCCTCATCTAATGGCTCTTGGAGGCTGCACAGCTTCCCCAGCTCAAAGTACCAAGGTCTCCCAGGAGGCCTGATGCTGCAACAAGAGACTGAATTGGCTGAGCAACATAAACAGTGACAGCCACAGCCATAACAAGGTGCTCTGGCGCCTGCAGACTTAGGCCACAGGCTCACAAATGGCACCTGGTGCAAGGACAGTCCAGATGTCTTTGTGAGCAAGCCCTACCATGAAAACCCCATCACAGCCTGCTTTCCTGAGTCCCTGAGAAGTTTTAGGAGGTTTTTAAGCCATCTTGAACCAATGACAAGTAGAGAACATGGGTCTTCTCTTCATAAGGTCTCTAATTTGAGGATTGTCTGACAACTACAGATAGGGACTGCTGAGTGCTGTAAAAGGAGGTTTCCTTGGTGTGGGCAGCTGAGTGCACAGGAGCAGAGCTCAGTGACCCTGAATACAAGTTAGTTTGCAGATCTGCTTCCCTTTCCTCTCCCTTTCCCTCTCCCTCTGTATATCAGGTGTCAGTTTTTAGTTTTGGAGCTTTTGCCCCTGTAAAGCTTCTCCCATTCACACCTGCGAACATCCTCTTGCTGTGGAAGATGTTAATTGTGCGTCTCACCCAATGAAAGACTGTGAAGTCTCACAGATTTGCCTTCTCGAAGCTGTAGTTAAAATATACATTTATCTGTAATTTACTTCATAAAACACATTAATAGAAAGAATGAAAGCCACATAGCCAGAGCATCCACCAGCCAAAGAGACATCATTAACATTCCCTGCACCTGAATAACAAGCAAGGAAAAACAACACAGGGATTTAGAGTTCAACTTGCAAAAGATAACACCATGCATTAGAAGCGAATGAGCCTCCCAATGGGAGCAGCACTAGAGAATGGAAAGAAAATAAAGTAGGGCAGTGTGCCAAATTCAGGAGGTTTAAAAAAAATAAGCAGCACAGCCATCACAAAAGAATCCCCGTTTCAGCCCAGCATGGGAGGAAGTATGAACTGAAACCCAACGAGGATTTCCATGTTACTGTCTTAATTTGTAAAGGCTTTGAAAAATAACACAATGCTGAGCTGGTCTTTCTTTTTTGGGAAGAGGGGAGAGGGTCAAAGGGAACTGTATTGGTTATCAAATAATGACAGAAAAAGCTATTCTCTCTGGCTCTCCTAAACTCCCAAGTGACTTGAAGGGACACAAAACACATCCAAAGAAACCCTTGCACAGGAAGGCAAAGCAAAGCCTGCACCTTTCTCCAGCACACTGCTCTTGTGTAGCTGTTCCCTGCCTCCTTGCTGTGCACTGACACATGGCTGCTGTCCCCCAGAGGGACGGGAACTGCACCTTGAAACGGAGACTGATGCCTTTCCTCACACAGGAAGACAAGCTTTAGTGACTATAAAGCATATGGCAATAATGGCAGGATCAGATGCTGTGCATTCAGTGACAGGCCTAGGCACACACCACCACGAAGGGCTCATACCTTACAATTTCTGGTCCAAGCTGGATGGAGGTTATGCTAATAATGTCTACAGGTACTGGACACAGAGCCCTTTTATCCATGTTGTTGGGGGATGCTTCATTCAGATCCACCTTTTCCTTTGCCCCCTGTTTCCAAACCTGTTCGGGATTTTTGCTTTCTCCCATTCTTATTCTGGCATTTTAATTGTAGAAATCCAGCTTTACCCCTTTTGTTGCTCAGTGGATACAGGAGAAGGTGAAAGGCAGGTAGAACACCACAAAAGCAAAAGGCAGGTGAGCTTTGAAGGAAAAGGGGTCTAGGAAAGGGATAAAAAAGGAGCACAGAAATGGAGGGTTGATCTCTGTTGTACTCACAGCATGTAGTAAGCCAAGCAACAGCTACTGTACCTTAACTAGGCAACCGGTAGAAAATCAAACCTTCCCTGTGATCAATAGGATAATGGTGAGAGTTTGATTAGCCTTGGAAAAATTACAATAAGGAGAGAATTTTTTCTCTCCATGGGCTGGGTGATTTCCCTGTGAAAGTTTTTACAAGAATGAGGCTGCAGATAATGCGTCTTGTTAACCCAAATTACATGCACTCGAATTCCCTCTCTTTCCCCAAAGAAATCAGAGAAGAAATCAGGCGTGAAATGGCATGTGGGTGGGGCGAGCAGAGCCAGCACCGCACTGTAATTAAATGAGACTCGCCGAGCCCCCTCGCTCAGAGCCCTTCAGTTCTTGTTCTGGGCTCTACTCACTACCCAGAAACACGGGGATACACTGCGTGTAAGCAGGGTGTATGCACTCTGTGCAAGACAAAGCTGCTGCAGGAAAGGGGGGGGGGGGGGGGGCTCTTGCCTTTCCCTAGGTCAGGAAATCCTCAGGCCTGAACCTCACACTGCAGCCCAAGAGCAGAGCTGCCTGATGGAAATGTGGCTTCTACTGATTTAACAGGTCCACTCTCTAAGATCTCAAACAGAAGGGCTTCAGTCCTATTCACTAGAGAGGACTGGACAGGGTGGTGCATTGCAATTTAATTTCTCCTATCCTGGTCATAGTTTCTGCTACCAGATAATGTTCAAACTCCTCCAGCAGACCCACTGGGAGCTCCTTCTGTGCGATCCTCTCTTAGTGAGAGCCCACACTCTTGTGCTGCCATTTGCTCCGGGTGAAATTCGCTGCTGAGTGGCACCACTTTACAGCAGGTCATTTGCTAACTGCATTTCACTGATCAGGAGGCTTGAGAGTCTTTTGAGACTTAATATTGGGGTGAGTTTACAGTTTGCTCCTAGGAAGTTCTGCAGGAGCCGCTGCCGGCGCTGGCAGAGGACACGGAGGTGTCACTGCGGCTACCAGGGTGCCTCCCAGCAGGGTCTCTATTGCCACGGCATATTCAGAACTTCCCTGCGTGGCGTTTCTCTCTCACAGCCTTGTGCAACGAGGCTGCAGAAGCTCTGTGATTTGGAGAGAAGCAACTGGCCTAGCCCCTGATAGAAAACCAGACGTGTTTTCAGCTCCAGGAGGTTCCTGCAAAGCAGAGAGGGGCTTGCGCACAACTCTTCAGCCCTGGATGGAGGAGCGATGGCCCCGTCTGAGCTTCCTGCTCCGAAACTTCCTCTGCCGAGCGCAGCCGCTGTGTGTGCTGTTCCCCCGGTAACCCCCGCCGCCAGGAACCCAAACCCGGGCGGGTCTGCAGCACCCGGTGGGACCAGCGAGGGCGCAGCGCCACCGCCAGGGACCGGCCCGGGGACCCGGCATCGCCGGAGCCCCCGCGTCGGGGCCGGGCGAGGAACGGCCCGGCCGGGCTCCTGCCCTGGGGACGGGGCGCCAGGAGCGGCTGCAGCCGCTCTGCTGCCCGAATGTGTTTCCGAAGCTGCCGTTATTGTGCTGGTTTCTGATGGTCTGTAATGAAGGGTGAGACCGGCGTGCGCAATAGTGCGGAAGGGGGGCAGCCGGCGCCTGAGACACCCAAGACTCAGCCCTACTGCAAACCCCTTCGGGGATCAAGGGATGAAAGAAAGAAGCCATACCAGGGATGGAGATAAGAGGCTGTACCAGTGATGCAATGCTCCTCCTGTACCCACTAGCTCTGGAGATGCGCACTGAGCACAGGAATGCTCAGGGGGATTTTGTGTGAGTTTGGTGCCAGATCTTGTTTCACATGAAGATACAGCCATGCCCAGCCCAGTCCCCAGGCCAAACCCAGTGAAGGCACCCATTTAATACCACGTTGATGCTCTGGTCTGAAATGCCTGATTTGATGCAGTTTATTATGGCTCAAACAGCAATCTTGTGCACATGAGAACTGTAATTCCTTATCCCTGTCATAAAATACATAGGAATGGAATCCCTGTTTCCCAGACAGCACAGAAAACAGTGTATTAGGTCGCTAGTATTATTAACAACAGGACTAGAAGTACTAATAATGTTGATACTAATAATTTGCACAGTAGCGGTGCTGAGTCTCTGTCTTGCAGTTGTGCCAAAGCATGAACCATACCCAGAAGATCTCACAATCCAAAGATGCTCAACAAAGTATAAGTGAAAGGAGCACTTGAGCCCCACTTTTCCAGCTAAAGACTGAGCTGCAAATGGAATTTAACAGCAAGATGGATGTTTGATTATGAAAAAAAAAGATGTTGTGACTCTCCCTAACTTCTGCTTTGCTGTATGTTTCCCTCTGTAGGGGTAGAACCTGCCTCTGCTTCCAGGCTCTCTGGCTGTGGTTGTCCTTGAAGCCCACCATCTCCTCCTTGACTTGTGTCCCTGTTTCTGCTCTGGTGCCGGTGTGCTGGCACCCTGCCTGCTGTGTTCCTTGCTTCTCCCCTTAGTTTCTGGCTTTGTTTTCATCAGTGGTCCTGGTGATGCAAGGGAAGGCTGTGGTTGCAGTAATGAGCTGGGTAAGTAAGCCTTAGGGGGAGCAACCTGGGACTATGTGCTCATGGTGCTGCCTTCCTCCAGGGATCAGAAACAAAGGAGACTAAGTGAGGAGAGGCGAGCAGGTGGCACTGGGGAGGCAGCAGGTGGGAGCGAGGCAG